AGAGATCAACCAAAGGACTTGTATGCATGCATATAAGCATAACCAATGGACATAAGAGACTGGGGGATAGGGGAGGCTAGGGGACTGTCAAGGGCAGGGGGAAAAGAATGGACACATATGTAATACCCTTTGTAATACTTTAAGCAATAAAAAAAAATTAAAAAAATAAAATGTTGGATGTATTGCCAACATTTAAATATTGAGACATTTTATTAAAAATTTCATATTTCCATCCAAAAAAAAGTCTAAAGAAAAAAAAAATAGTGTTTTTCACATCAAATAGCCTCATCTTCTCTAGAAAGTAGAAAATTGTTTCATTGGAAACTGAGAAATCTGGGGAAGATTTACATTCAAGAAGAATAGAGATTTTGAACAACCATGAAAGGACTGGGACATTTTAAATGGCAGGGTCACACAGCATGAAAATGTTGAATGTCTTTGCTATGTCAGCAAACAGGCACTATCCTTGCCTGCATGGAGCATGTGAGCTAGGGACAGACACATAAAACAATCAAATAATTACACCAATAAACATGAACTTGGCCATTCGCAAGGTAAGCATGGCAGGGGATAAAGCTGATAGGAAACAAGAGGGTTAGAGGGAAGCCAGTACAATTGGCTGACATTGGATTCAGGGAGGCAAATAACACTAACTGTGGCATCTGGTAGACTAGAATGAGAGAGAAAGACACAGGAGGATAAATGATGAGTTCAGTAGGAGGGAAATAAGTGGGAATATATACAGCTGTGGTCAGAAAGCAGGCTTTCACAGTTTTACTAGCAGCAGAACAGCTATGAGAGACATAGTGGTTCCAGGCAAAAATGCAACATGTGCACTTTGAGGGGAAATGGAGCCAGGTGCACACACAAACCCCACTCTCACCAGTGAGGGCTCGCCTATGACAAGGTTCCAGCAATTAACCATATTAATTCACAGTCTACTCCAATGCACTTTAAGTCACACAGGAGACGAATTTTCTTTCTCCTTTTATAAAATAGTCATGAATGCTGTACTCACATATATTCAGTGAGTCAGAGTTTCCAGCTCATGTGGTCTCGCTCTCCCTGGGTAATCTTGCAGCTTCACAAGACAAAACCATGTCTAGGAAAGAGATGAAATTGAACTTGGCATTACACTTAAGGAAGTTAGGAAATAACTCAAGCATAATTATTTGAAATTAAAATCCACCTAATGGAGTAACCTAGGGGGAACAATTTATATTTCTATATATTTATCCAACTGTACATTAATTTTATAGTATGTCTTGCTTGAGGCTTTTCCAAGAATACAAAAGGCTTTATAAAAAAATGATAGTAGTCATAATATTTAGTTCTGGATAAATATCTCCCTTTAACGAATTTTTCTATTGGACTGTAAAGCAATATTTTTCTATAAAGGAAAAAATGTACCAACTGCTAGTATGACCTAATCTTTCTTTGCACACTCTATTTTATTCAAATGAATGTATCCCTCATTCCTGATCATGCTTGGCTTTTCATCCCTTTATGGCTTTGCTCATTCCAGCTGATCTGTGTGAAATATCTCTATATTGGTTCTTTCTCATTTACCTCCCAACAGACTTAAAGTGATTATTTAATACCCAGCTCAAATATTACCTTTTCCCTCAAAGCTGTCAATCAAAATTAATCTCTATCTCATCTATATCCCCACAGTCTGCTGCTTGTCATTTGTTAGGAAACGTATAACCAGTGTTTCTAATTCTACCTACCTGCTTTGAAAACAGGCAGAATGTTTTACCTGTGAGGATGTTTTTTTCTTAAGCACCATCTAACCTGTGTACGTAACATATTCAAATATAATGTACAATTGCTCCTTGTTCCATTGCGGAGTAAATCCGCCATTTAGTATTGCTATAGTCAGGGATTTTCACTATTGTACCAATCTGATATATATTTTTTTCAATGAAAATACTTTCGTTCAGTTTTGTTTGTTTGTTTGTTTGCTTGCTTGCATCCAGGGCATCATTCTCTCTACTTGTCTGCCCTCAATTGATTATATGTAGTCTCCTCTGAAATTTTCTCATTTTTCCAGACTTGTCATAATACAATGTACCATGGCTTACATCTTGAACATCTCCTATTTTCTTATTTTCTATTACACTAACTTTCTTTGAGATCTAATCTAGGTTTATGACTTTATATATCATCATCTATTCACCAGGGATTTTCAAACTTTTATATTAGCCCAGTTTAGCATGAGCACAAAACTTATGAGTAATCATCTACTTTATACATCCACTTCAATGCTAACAGACAATATACAATTAGCATACCCTAAAGTCCCTCCTATCACCAAGTTTCTCCTGCTATAATTTATTCTAAGAGAAGGGAAAGTTTATCCTACAATTTTCTCATTCCAAAAAGCTTCCAGTCACCTTGACCCCACTCTTTTTCCCATACCCCATGTCAAGTAAATTAACAAATCTGATAGCTGCGAACTTCAAAATATATCCAAGATGGAGTGAAAACATGACCGCATTTTCTATCTCTATGTCTAAAATGCTGACTTAGTTCATGAAGTTGATTCCTGGTGAACTCAGAATTAATTTGAGTTTTTGTGAATTCTAAAGTAGGACATTTTCTACAATTTTATTATTAGTAATGCCTAAACATAGGCTATTCATACTTGCCTAATTTGCAAAGCCAGCAAAAAGTTATATTCTAACAATGAAGTTAATAATGACAACTATACAATCTAATATTTTTGAGCACTTACTATATCTCAGATACTAATATCAGTGATAACCTATATTAGTTCATTAATTCAAAAACAATCCTGTGAGGGTGAAACTATCATTATCTCCATCTTAAAATGAAAATGGGAATAAAGACATTAAGGAATTTGCACAATGACACACAGCTAGCTATTCTGAAAATGGCATGCCAATCTAGGCAGTTTCGAGACACAAAAACTAAATTTTTTAAAAGTATTTTCTTTTTTCCTCTGTTTTATTGTGATATAACGGATATATAACATTACATAAGTATAAGTAGCACAACCTAATTTGATATGTTTCTATTAAAATGATTAGCACAATAAGTTTAATTAGCATCTATCATTTCACATTGTTATAATTTTTTCTTGTGGTGAGGACTTTTAAAGTATGCTACCTTGGCAACTTTCAATATACAAAACAGTATTGTTAACTGTAGCCATTATGTTGTGTATTACTCCCCAAAATACAACATTTGGAGATCACACAACAGAGTGCCCAAAGCCAATCATTTGTACCCCAACTGAGAAAGTTCAGGGAATATCTGGAAGCCTAATAATACATTAAAAACAAACAGAGTAACTGATACTATGGTAACATCTTCAGGACCTGCTTACTTATACTTCACCAATTACTTAATAAGCATTCAATCTCTACTATAACTCACTCCTCTTTGTCATCACTTCCTTGAACCGACTCATTATAATGGTGGAGAGTAGGAGCAGTAATCACTCTGAGATTACCAAGAGCCAATAACATGGCTATGACAAATATCAATTGAATTAGGAGTGTCACTGCTTGAGTCACTTAATAAGAATCACTTGAGAATGTCCTATCAGTAGGGATTGTGCTTTGGCAGAAGGGGGCGAAGATGAAGGAACAGGCCTATGTCCTCCTCCAGTTCTGACAATTTGTTTCCTTCCGATAAACAGCTCTTCTGGCAGGAAATGAGGGAGCACAGGTTGGACACATACAACGTGCATGGTAATATCATAAGCGCATTACCTGATTTATTTTGATTCTGTGTTGTACCAATTGGCTTGGCGGTGCCATTGGTAAGGCCCCTTAGGTACATAAACATGATGTCCCTGAAAATATAATCTAAGTGAGGCAGACTTGAGGAAATTGAGGAAAAAGAAGGTAAATGATGGTCTTAGATAAAATGGTTACTATCAGAGCTGAATAACTTCCACCTGGCATGCCACATTTCTTCTCACTTGACTTCTCTCCCTCCCACAAACCCCTCACTGTGTGTCTTTATCCTTAAACTAGAGGCCTGATGCATGAAAACTGTGCACTCGAGGGGAGGGGTCCCAAAGCCCAGCCTGTGCCCTCTTGCAGTCTGGGAGTCCTCAGGGGATGTCCAACTACCTCCTTAGGCCCATTCAAGGAACATCCTTAGCGCCAGACATCCTGTCAGACATCCTTAGCGCTGCTGCGGAGGCGTGCCTTAGGCCCATTCAAGGAACATCCTTAGCGCTGCTGCGGAGGCGGGAGAGGCTCTTGCCAGCTCTGCTGCACTCACTGTGAGCCTGGCTCAGGGCTGCTGGCTGAGTGGTGCTCCCCCTGTGGGAGTGCACTGACCACCAGGGGGCAGCTCCTACATTGAGTGTTTGCCCTGTGGTGGTCAGTGCGTGTCATAGCGACTGGTTGTTCTGGTATTCAGTCAATTTGCGTATTAGCCTTTTATTATAGAGAATGGAAATAACTATACAATTGTATAAATTTCAAGGTTTTCTACAACTAATGATTTTATTTTGCAGATGCATGCTTTAGAGGCTATCCAAAATTGAGAGAATTACACAACTCTACTGAGAGGGAGTCAGTGGGTGGCTGCATAGGGTTGGGGCACATAGAGAAAATATCATCAAAATGTTAAAATAGTAATCATATAATTACACAGTGCTGTATAAACCTGCTAATGGTGTAATATCAAGTAAAAAGGGGAAGTTTAAAAATGACATATATTCTATAGTTGTGTATATACTATATATGTGTCCATATACAAGGATAAGATGTAAGAACATGGGACAATTTTCTCATGATTTGTTGAACATAGTATAAGATTGAGTAATACATTTATACTGAGCAATTAATATTTTAACAAAATTGTTTGATATAAATTTTGAAATTGGAGCATAATTTTTAAAGATGATTTTTATTTTAGTTTTGTTTTATTGCTTAAAGTATTACAAAGAGTATTACATATGTCTCCTTTTTTTTCTAAAGATGATTTTTAATTGATTTTAAGGAGAGAGGAAGGGAGAGGGAGAGAGAAACATCAATGTGAGAGAAACATCAATCAGCTGCCTCTTGCACACCCCCTGCTGGGAAATGAGCTCACAACCCAGGTATGTGTCCTGAATTGGAATGGAACCCTGGACCTCTTGGTGCATGGGTTGATGCTTAACCATTGAGCAACACTGGCTCGATGAAAATATAATTTTTAAAAATACATGGCATAATGACACTTCTGAAATTCATAGAGATGCTGTAGTTTCAGTGGTCACATAAATCTAGCAAACATTTTGTCTTCAATGCTTGTTATAAAAGACTATTAAGAATCATTCTAGCCCTAGCCAGTTTGGTTCAGTGGATAGAGTGTCAGCCTGCGGAAGGAAGGGTCCCAGGTTTGATTCTGGTCAAGGGCACATGCCTTGGTTGTGGGCTAAATCCCCAGTATGGGGCATGCAGGAGGCAGCTGATCAATGATTCTCTCTCATCATTGATGTTTCTGTCTCTCTGTCACTCTCCGTTCCTCTCTGAAATCAATAAATATATATATATTTTTAAAAAGAATCACTTTAAATGAGCAATGGGGGGATAAGGACACCTATATAATACCATAATCAATAAAGAAAAAAATAAATTACTTTGAATTGTTATATCTTCTTTTCAAAACCATAAATCCTAGCACGCATTCCAGTTAGTAATTAATTCTTATACACTAGTTTTCCCTCAAAAATCACCTTACTGTATATAAGAGATTAGTAGCCTAAAAAAAGGAAAAGTGATCTAATTCATTCAGCACATATTTTAATTACTGTTTTAGGCACAATTTTAAGACCCTAGGATTTAACCGAAAGTCAAAAGTTACTTTGTAGTTAGCTTTGGATCTGTAACAGTCAAGGGTTTAAAGTTAATTCTATGGCAAGGGAAAGGGCTCAAGAAAGGATCTGAAACAAATTTGTAGAGAACAGTGGCAGAGCCTTGTTCCTGTGGCAGTTTTCTGAGTAAATGTTTTCAGAAAAATAAAATGTTACAGAAAGCAATTTAGATATCGCTTTCCAACTCTTATCCCTTCACTCAATCACCTTATCATCAGAACATCTGTTCCAGCAAAAGGAAAATGTCATGAAGGCTGGGG